AAGTGGACAGGAGGCTGAGTGGATGAAATGCATAAGTGCTTTATAAGATCCAGACGTGGTTACTATCACTATATAAAAGAATTGAGCATCCCATTACTCTTTATGTGGTAATCTTAGCACAGCAGAATTTTCTAAGTCTTTCCTCTCAAATGCCCTCTATTAAGTCTGACCAGTGATTGGGTTGCAGCTAGAATACTGCAGCTGTGCTGGAGGCATGTCACATGGGCAGATTGGGGCCAGAAGTGCTTGCTAGGCCCCTCTTCAGGTCTCTGAAGCATGGCAGCAGCCTCCTTATTATCTCCTGGTCTTAGATGTACCCATTTAGCCAGTTCCTAATACACCAGTCCATTCTCCTCACTAGTCTAGTTTTTTTTCACCTGTGATCTACTCATCATTTTTCTGCATTAAAATAATTAATGATCCCTTTGGCTTAAGAATATCAAGATCCCTTCACAATGCACATCTTGAAATGGGCTATCAAGTCTATCTCGTGAGCACCTTACCAGCTTCTAACCACTCCACAACACTGTGTGGTCTCTTCCCTTGTTTCCAAATGACTTTTCTGACCTTTCTTCCCCTGGTGACTCTTCAGCATTTTTTTTTTTTTGGTCTTATTTCATTTTACTTTTTTATATTAACTTTTTTTTTTATTTTTTACATCATTGTTCATTTTTAAACAATATTTGCTTCCCCCCACCCCCTCAGATGTAGTCCCCATAGAGATTCCTTCACCAAGGCACCCGTGCACCATCACCTCAGTCCCCTTACCTTGATATCTTATTTGGTTCCCCTATCTTCATGCTGTAAGTAAAACCATCTGATATTTTTCTTTTTCCTTCTGGCTGATCTCTTCCACCCTGAAATCTTCCCTCGCACCCATCCATAGAAGCAAATTTGTTGCTTCCTTCTCTGTGTCTGTAGTAATGAACAATTCTCTTGTATTAGCCAGGACCTTTGCTGTAAAGTTTGGAAGTCCAACTTATATTCAACCAGGATTTATTCATTCTTGTCACCCAACTGCGTGGCGGCTGGGCCTTCAGAAGACTGAGACCACAACCTGTCCTTTCAACAGCTTCAAGGGGGCAGAAACTACTGACACTGACTCTCCAGTTTTGCACCCCTTCTTACTTGAAACCAGAAGAGAAAGCCTTTCTTCCCACCATTCCAGTCATCAGATTTCATGGGCACAGGCAGCATTCAGATTGGCTGGTTTGGTTCACATGTGTGTGCCTGTAACTGCCTGGGTGGGGAGAGGGGTGAGGCAGGGCACTGTGAGTCACCCAGATTGAGTCAAGATGTGTCCTGCTCTGACTTGGGAATGGACCACCATGTTAATGACCCCCATGAAGACCCCTTAATTGGTTTTATAGTGGGGGAAAAAGCAGTGTTTAAAAAAAATTGTGCAATCTAAAAATATTCCAGACAAGCTAGAAAAAAGCAGGTAGCAACTAAACTGTTTTACAAAGCTCTTAACTAATACCACTTATTGTTTTGTGTGTTTGAATGTGTGTTTCTCACTAGTGTGTGGCCTCCTGGAGCCCAGTGTCCTGTCTTACCCATTTGCCTGTCAACACCTAGCATGATGCCTAATGCCAAGTTGGCACTTAGCTAATGTTTGTTTGTTGTGAATTAATAGATAGCTAGCTCTCCTCTGCTCTGTGGGCAAAACATCCGGAGAACATGAATACAGGATTCCAGAGTGTTGTGAATTAGTTAAATGAAGTGTTGTAAATTAGTTAAATGAATGTTTATAGAGCCCCTATAACTGAGTGGTTAAAAAAAAACTAAAACACCTTTGTAATACAACTAATATTTATTGAGTTCAAATCTTTCCCATTTTTATAAAAGACGTGTAATCCTTACAGGCATCTCATAAGCCATAGGGATCACCCCAATTTTATAAGTTGCAATGATGAAGAGATGACTGGACTTTCCCTAGCTCTCACCGCTAATTGGCTGTCCAAAAGGAGTAAAACCTGAGCTCCTGGGATTCCAGGTCCATTGCTGTGTTCTTAAGTCATTTAACCTTCCTGAATAAAATGGGGATAATAACACTTATTTTGAAGGATTGTAATAATAAAAGAAAAAAGTTACACATAATGTCCACTACAAATTCTGTTCCAAATTAGGACATCAGTTGATAGCAGTTTCTTTATGTGCCCAGGATGGCAAAGACATCCTAGGATGTCCTACTTGTACATATCTGTGACTGGTTCTGTCCTTGTCCAACACCCCAGCAAGTCCTCCTGCATTTTTCTTCTCCTTAGGGCCATCCCCTCTGTCTCCAGTAGCTTCTCCCTCACCCAGGACTAACTGTAAGACAGGTGATGGCTCCTGGACATTCCCTTCCTTTCTGAAGCCCAACCCCAGGCCCTTTCACATCTTAAGGATACCTCTAGTTCAGAAAAGAGGTGTAAGGACATATAGGTCCTGTGCCATGGTCTGATATCAATTACTTGTGTGACATTTGCTCCACTGTTCTCTCCAGTGTGAAGTGAGAGTGTTGAACCAGAGACATTTCTATATTAAACTTGCTTAGGCAAAGGAAATTTCGCTGAAAACATTTTCTCTGCACAGTCAGGCATTATCAGTCTTGGGGCGAGGGGAAAGTTTTACATATTTTCCTATCCACCAAATAAATCAGCATTGGCCTTGCCTAAGTTTATCAGATCCATTTTTACTTTAAACTCTTCCTTCTTGCTCTACTTTGCAGCAAAGTTTACCTGCCTGCAGCATACATTCAGAATTTTCTCCTGAATATAGGTTGCAGAAATTGAAGCAAGCAGATATAGACTGAACTAGCATAGATGGCATCTTCAGGCTCACTGGCTAGATCCACTTGGCTTCCTCCCTTCTCATTAGCCCCACAGTCTACATCTGCTTCACCCACCCTGATTTATGCTCAGCACCCCAGAGTGCATAAGCTGGTGTTTATTTTCATGGCTGACACGATCATCCCCAGAGCTGTCGTTAGCATTTGGAAGATGAGTCGCTTTCCCTGGGAGATTGGAGTATCTGTGAAGCCTCCTGACCTGTTAGACGTCTATGTCTCAACACTTTACAAAACCAAGTCTATTTATTTCCTCTTATCACAAGCACTCATAGTTACTTATTGCCTAAACAGAGCAAATGATTCTTATAATAATTGTAAATTTGATGTTTGTAAACTTACTGTTTTCTGAGTTAGTGAATCAGTCTACAATTACAAAGGAAGAAAAGTTAGATTTCAATGCTATTTGATATTCAGTGGTTGCGTTTGCTTGGATCCTGGCCGTTTATGAAGGTTACATTTTATGCTTGGTTCCTCAAGCACATAAGTCAATACTAGAAACCTGTAGTCATGTCTCAGGATGAGAAACAGTATGGATAATGGAACATTTTTAAACCTCAACCCATGAAGACTCTCATGTTATAGAAATCTGCCCAAGATCACCCAGATTACAAAGCACTTAGCATAGGTAGGTGTGATTCCAGAGCTGCAAATGCAGACATGAAATAAGATGCAGTCCTTGCCTCTGGAGGACTGAGGGTCTAGTATGGTTTGAATGTCATAAACACAATCAAGTATATTAAGTATTAAGATAGAATCAAATTTATATTAATGTCCTGATATGTTTTTCAAGTACTAGGACCTGTAAAAACTAGATATCTAAAAACATGAAATTAAAAGAAAACATTCATAAGGAAAAAAAAACAGATCTGAATAACCTCTCATAAGGTAGTGCAATGTACTGTCTGCTTGATTTAGATGATGACAGTACATGATTGCCCAAATCAGTAAGTAGATTAATTATGAGAGGCGGGTGCCTACATGTAAATAACGCAATTAGCAATACTTTCATTCATTTATCAAACACTTATCAGCTGTGTCGTGTGTGTCAGACACCTTGTTAGGAAAATAAATGAAGAGGGGAAAACAGACAGACAGGTGGATTCAGCATGGAGCCCAGTTTGGGTGCCTGTATTACAGCTAGTTGGTTACGATCCCCAACTAGCTGTGTTACCAGGGGCAAGTGACTTAATCCTTCTGAACCTCAGTTTCCTCAGTGACACACTGGCATTAAAAATAACAATACAGACCTCCTGAGGTCATTTTGATTATTATGTGAGATGATTACCTTTAATAGATTACCTACTATAGTACCTGGGTCCTTGTACATGCTTGACAGGTATCAGAAGTTTTCTGTCCCAATTTGATGGAGGAGACACTTAAGGCTCAGAGCAGTGAAATAATGTGTCCAGGACACTGTAAAACTAGAAGATAAATTCAAAACAAAGGAGCACATGACACAAAGTACATAGGATGAAAGAGCAGAAGGACTAACTGTGCCTCTGGAGTCTGTGAATGATTTTTCAAATACTGTCCATAAACATTTGTTTGGAGCCATTTTCCATTGGCCAACTGCTGAGTTACACACACACACACACACACACACACACACACACACAGGGGTCCACAGTCTGCCCCCACATAGACTATCAGCTTCTTTCTCTAAGGGCTGGCTAATCTTTAATAAGGATTATCACAGGTTTCTCAGTCTTGACTTTTATTATTTTCAGAACTGACAGGTGAGAAGTAAGAAAGGCAATAACTGTCTTGAAACATTTTTCTAAAATTTTGCTTGGACTTCCTCCAAAGTAAAAGTGTTTCTTCAAAATATGGAAGAAATATGGAACTTCACCAGCATAGCTGAAACCAAGGAATTCCCTGGAAGTGGCATGGCAAGATCATATTCATTCATTCATTTTTTACTCATTTCCATCATGTTTATTTTGTGTTTATAACATGGTACAATTGATGAACAAGAAGCAGCTTCTCAGTGGAGAAAAATCCCGAGACTTAGAGGGTTGATTTCTCTCTTTCTGTTCTTGTTTGTGAAACTAACTTTCCATGAATGAATACTTATCACCAAACTTTTGGAAAAATCACCTCAATATAAATTGATTGCTAATCACCTGAATGTGACCTCTGGTTCCTTTTTTTCTCTTTTCTGACACAGAATGCTGCAACATTCCAGGTGACTGTCCAAGATGATAATAGCATCACTGTCTCTTTAGAAGCTTCAGATGTTGTGAGCCCTTCATCTGTGTATGTCGTGAAGATAACTGGTGAATCAAAAAATTACTTCTTCGAATTTGAGGAATTCAACAGCACTTTGCCTCCTCCTATTATCTTTAAGGCCAGTTATCATGGCCTTTACTATATAATCACGCTGGTGGTGGTAAATAGAAATGTGGTTACTAAGCCATCCAGATCAATCACTGTGCTAACAAGTAAGCATCAAGTGTTTCTCCTTTGGGTATGTTCTCACGGGGCTCACCTTGAAGAGGACCCAACCTAGAATGGCTTTGAAGTCAAGTGACATGGATTCAAAGTTCAGTTATGTTAAGATTCCAGCTCCTTGCTGTAGCTTTATCACGTTATACTGCAAATTTTTGTTAAACAAAAACTGGTTTTAAGACAAAATGAATAAATCTTGATAAGGTAGTACATTTTGAGACTGACAATTTTAGAGTGTGCTATGTAATTTTCTGCTCTGTGACTTAAGAGTATCATAACTATGCATTTTTTTTTCCCAGAACACATACTCTCATGGTAAGTAATTTTGGTTTTGAGACAATGAATTTATAGTCATATTTATCCTACTCAAATCCAATTATACATTTTTCAGCTGAGAAAGAGAAATAGATGTTATTATCAGGTATTATTCCACCGTCTCTCCTCAAAATAGTTTTGGCTTCTGCTGCCCAAGGAAATGTCATTGGCATTTTAACCTTCAGTCACAGTCAGTAGGCCACATCTTAAAGAGTTAATGCTGACGTTAGGAATTTTTTTTTTTAATTTTTTTTTTTAAAGAGGCACGTATTTTATTTATTTATTTATTTGTTTATTTGTTTGTTTGTTTATACATGCACTGGGTACAGTCAGAAGCGTGGGAGGGTGAGAGAATTCACCAGAGCCCGAGCGGGGAGCAGAGCAGGCAGAAGGACCGAAGTACACTGCTGAGGGGAGCAGCGGGCGGCAGGAGAGGTCTGCGCGCCATGTGGGACCCTCCTCTGGTGGCCAGGGAGCAGCCGGGGATCGAACCGGCGCCGCAGAGGCCGCGGGCAGATTCACAACCCAACGCTCAACCACTGCACCACCGGGGAGGCCCTGACGTTAGGAATTTTTTAGGAGTCCTTTTAACTATTCATGATTTTAATTTTGCTCTCTGATTTTAATACCTAATGACAATTTAAGAGGAGATCCTACTGTTTATGTTGAGGTATGAACAAAAAGCTATTATATGGAAGGCAGTGGAGTTCCTCACTAGAGCAACTGAATGTCTTAGCAAAGTTCTTTTTGCTCATTGTTTTTCAATGTAAATTTTCCAGCAGCTGCAATACTTTAAATACCAGCTGAATATGGCTATTCTGGCCATATTAAGGAAAGGACATAGTGATATTTTCTGTTGTGATTGAAGGAAAGCAACAAGAAATCAGAATCAAGCAAGATGACATATTTTTAATTTATCTGTCAAAAATTAATTAGTTTCCCTTGGTAAAGTCCAAGGATAACAATTGAGTCCTCAAAATCAGGGATAACTCAGAGCCCAAAACCTTCAAGGTCTATGGATAGAATAAGCAAATTTAAGGCTTAGTTGAATTAAAGAAAAAACTTGCCTGATAAAACTCCATTTTAAACACGTTTCAGAAAAAAGTGAATTAGGACTTCATAGATCCAGGCCTACAATGACAAGGATACAAATTCCTTGATATCAGCATCTCTGTCTTACTCATCTTCATATTTCTATTATCACTAAGTATGAGCCCTTAATAGGTGATCAATAAATAGCCACTCAATTTAACTGAGCAAATAATATGAGAAAGTGCCAAGAAAAACATACTAAGCCACAAAGCAAGATAAAACTGTAGTAGCTGGTGCTGACCCAATATTCATTAGCAGGTCCTCAGCCACTCCCTATCAGACAAAGCTGGAGGAGTCAAGTAAGGGTTTATTAAAAAAAAAAAAAACTTAATAAGAAGTACCGAAATGTTTCTGGACTATCTCCTGATATTTTAGCATGTGCAGGATGTTTCAAAACTTTCCTTCAAACCTTTTCAAGATATTTTCTGTTTCCCTTTATGATTGCTTCTTGGGCATGTGGGCTGAATGTGTGGTCAAGCATCTAAAACTGGCAGTGGTGCAGAGTTCTTTATGCTGATATCTAGGCAAATGCTAGTGTGATCAGAGAAAATACTTTGTGTGAGTTAAGTTAGTTGAAAGTTTTTGAAATTTGTCTTTCTGTACAAAATATTGTCTATTGTGCATATTCTGTGAACACTTGTTAGGTGAAGTTTCATGAATACCAGGTCAAAGTTGGGTGTGTGTGTCATCTGCTCCTTACAGACTTTCTGTCTACTTGTTCTAGTGATGACTGACCGAGTATGAAGTCTCCACCCACACCTGTAGATCTGTCTATTTCTCCTCTCTTTTAACTTACACTGTATGCATTTTGAACCTCTGATAAATGTTGTTAGGTACAAGCACTTTTAGGTTTAGCATGTTATCTTGACCAGCTGAATTTTGTTATCTTGATCCTAGGTAATATGCATTATGGTGGACCCTGATATTAATACAGAGATCTCAATTTTCTTGTGTTAAGAAAATGGTCTACTTGTTTTATCCTGTTACTTTCAACCACTTATGTCTTCATATGTAAATGGGTTTTCTTGTATTCAGTGTGGAGTTGGAGCTCACTTTTTCTCCAATTTGAAAATTTGTCTTTTAATTGGAGTGTTTAGACAGGAACTATTCAGTAAAAGAGAGATAACCACATATGTCATTTTAAATTCCCTAACTGACATGTTAAAAAACTTTCTGAAAAGATTAAATTAATTTTAGTAGCATAGCTTATTTAACCTATTGCTTTCAAAATGTCATTTCAGCATATAATCAATATAAATGCACGTGTCTTATTTTTAAGCATAATTAAAATTAAAAATTCAGCTTCTCATTTACACTAGCTTCAGTTTAAGAACTCAATAGTCTTATGTGGATAGTGGCCACCAATTTTGATACTGCAAATTCAGATCATTTTTATTTAATGTGATTATTTATATGGCTGTATTTAATTTAAATTTGCCATATTGCTAGACTGCTAGTGTCAGGGGTATAGGGAGTTGAGTTAATTTAGTCAGAAGTTGAGCTAGTTTTAAGGTTTTAGTAACCTTCAATTCATTACAGATTTCAGATTCTCCCAATGGCAGTCTGCCAGCAGGCATAGAGGGTCTATATCTGTATTCCCACCCTCTTGTACCCACAGAGTTCAGCCAACCCTGTACAGTGTCCCCACAGAAGGCCTCCAGGATTATGCCCCTCCCCAGGCAACAGACTGCAGCTTCTTTTTGTTCAGTGCTTCTCTTGGTAGAGACAAGGAAGATTCCTGGCTCCCCAGGTCCAGCCTCAGGCTTAGGTGCCTCCTGTGACCCTAATTGGGGCATCCACAGCATTTCTGCCCTTTGCTATCACTGACAGGCAAATTCTATCTTAAATCTTTGATGTCTAGAGTGGGAGTTTCCTGCTTCTGCCTCAACAGACCAAGCTCTGCTTTGTATCAGTGCATGATTGCAGACCCAGGCAAGCCTCTGCCCCTCTCCCAGGAACACACACCTTTCATTGCTCCCAGGTCCTGAGAAGGGGGCATCTTTGCCTCAGTATTGATATTGAGAGGAAAATTTTCCTTTCCCCTAAACCCCAATGCCTTAAGGCTTCTGCTTTGTACTCAAGAAAAGTTCCAGACAGTGAGTGATGTTTCTCACTGAGTGAGGTTTCTCTTTGAGCTACCAATTATCACCTGCATTCCTTGTCCCCAGGAGTAGTTCTTATGCCCCCAATATTTCTGATGAGCCCCTGATGGGGGCTGGAGAAAGAGTTAGAGGGAATGTATAAACTCCACCTTTGTCTGGGACTCCAGTTATACTAAACCAGTGCTGTTACGGGACTTTTGGATGATAGACATGTTATTGCTGTGTTGTCCAATATAGTAGCTATTAATTTTTCATTTATTTCATTTTGAATTTTATTTCAATAGTCACACGTAGCTAGTAGCTGGCTTACTGGACAAAGCGGTTCTATGCTGTCATTTAGACCACACAAGCCTTTCTGAGCTCATTAGAATCTCTGATAGACTCTAGAAAAGTTATGATCTCATAGATTATTTGACTTATTGCTGTGTGTGTGGAGACTGATCTGCACTTGCTTGCAGCTTTCCTCATTCTAAGTGCAAAAGGAAAGTTGCATTGATTTCTAAAGAGTAAAAATTAATTGATGATGGCTGATTGCTTCTCATCTTCTCTTCTACTTTTAGAAACTCAATTGCATCATCCCAGATTTTTAAAGTGACAATAGGTTAGGAATCTAAGAACCAGGGATTAATGCACAAATATTTTGTGATGTGGGGAAGGAGGCAACATTAGGTGACGTTTGGATCCCAGCTCCCTCCTTTAAAAGGAAGGAACTGAAGTCCACACTACTAGTTTACTTTGAGATCTAATGGTGGTAATTTTAATATGTCAGTTAACCATGCATTTTTGTCATCCTTATATTTCTAATAGAAATCATTTTTTAAAGTTCAGAAAGCATTTACAATTTCTGCCCGTAGAGTTGGCACATTGCTCTTGAAAATAAAAGGGCACATTTGTTGCTGTCATTTATTGTGTGTTAGATGCTACTATTGATGAAATAAGCAATGGCAAAGCAATTGGCCCTGGGGCAATCCTTTGATATTTTTCTCTAGTTGTTTTGAGTCTGATGCTCAGAGAAAACTGAGAAACATGGTAGAGAATAAATTCAGCACAAAACAAGTGACTTGGCCAGTTCAAAAGAGCTTTGCAACCCTTAGGATCAGACAGCTGATTAATATTTAATTGATTGAGAATCTTCAGTATATTGCATGCACTTTAGAAAGAAAGAAGAGTATCTTAAGGTAAAATAATGCATGAAAATAATTGCTTAGAAACTGGGGAATGATGATTGACACACAGCTCTCTCACATCAATTAAGTTACAGAACTGGTGACTGTAAACATTGTAGAATACATAGAGACACTCTACAAATATGATTTTCTATACAAATCCTTTTATAAATAAAATAATGTGTGAGTTATTATTTTGCAAATGTGCATTCTCTATGGCATGACCTAAGTGCAAGAGAAATGAGAATCAATAAAAATATTCACATTCAGAGATGGTACTAGAGTAGAAAAGAAAAAAAAGATGATCTACGCTATGAG